TGCCTTTTTTCTTTCTAGAACTTTGAGTTGAAGTTTTTTGGAACACTTGGGAAGATATTCATTGTGTTTCTTTTGCCCGTAATAGAGGCTGTATACCCAACCAACGGCACACCCAAGCACCCCCCCCCCCCCACACACACACATGTACATACACACATGCACACACACACACACACACACACACACACACACACACACACACACACAAATTAGTTGTTCTCTGTACCCATGTATAGAAACACGGACAATAAGACAATGCTCTCTTACCGGTAGATTCTATTCCAGGACTGCATACATGTACATCATTATCCTAATCACCCATTCCTACTCTGCTCTGTTTGCGTATAGCATCATGTGGATGAATGTCTGGTGATATGCACATAGCTAACTGCTACATCACACTCATAACGTATACACTGTAGCGCTGCTTTCGCATGGTTGATCACACAGTGAGCAATGAGTCCTGGAGGCACGAAACCTACGTCACAATACCAGCCAAGTCGTCGATGAGTGTCCGCCTATGCGTGACCAGGCGCTAACTGATGTACAGCCTCACTACAGCCAGGTACCAGCCATATACGTGAGTATCACCAGCCATGCGTCTACTAGGCGACGTGCGTAAATTATAGATGATGGTGGAAAGAGAAGCATGACTCTTTGCCAGTCTGATCCGAAGACAAGATTAGAATAGAATGAAGAAGGAACGGACCAAAGGTTTACACAGCAGTATGCGTTGTTGTCCACTAACTTATTGCCAAGGATGATGTAGGGTCAGAACGTGTGACATTTGCCACAATATTCACTGATGATACTGACATTCAACGACCTGACGTTTGCCTCGATCACGTCTTGGATATGATACCCTGACCAACACACTTCCAGCCGGTCATAAAAATTAATAATATTAATTGCATTCATTGAAAGAACAAAAAACTGTGAAAAACTGAATTTGTTTTCGTCGCACACATGATGTCATTGCCTTGATAACTTTGACAGGATCTAGATCATAGACGTGTCAATGAATGAACCAGTGAGTCACTGACTCCATTCCAGGGGTAGTATTCGGTACCACTAGTACTGGCACTAGGCACTACAGTCGTCCGTCCAGGTTCCAGGGACTATTACATGATTGTGTTTCACGATGACAGCGTGAACAAGGCGGAGGACCCACAGTATGAAAACAGTGTTCCTGACTGAAACCATAAACTGGTTGGCGGGCCCGGTCTTGCGACAATTTGAACCACGAGATCAGGGAATATTCCTATAATGCTCCAATAGAGTAATGACTAATGGGTGTCTGAACAAGGGCATAGCCCATACGGTTCAAATGGGCACAAGATCGAGACCCTACCCGGCAACCGGTGTATGGTTGCAGTGAGCCTGGAGTAGTGTTTTCCCATACAGTGGGTAGTCCACCTTGTTCACACTGTCATCATGAAACTTACATACTACAATCAGGTACGTGGAGTTACGAAGTTTGTGTTCAAACCGCACTACCCAGATCTGTTCATTTCCAACAGCAATGGACAAACAGGAATGTCGTGAAATTATGACTCCATACCAGTAAAGAATTTTTCTCAGACCATTTTCAGTCACAGACTCACTGAAATGTTTGGTACTTTGTCGGCCCATCATCTCAACACAGAACTTAGTGAGAACAAAACTACTTATACGTACTAACGATGAAGGAACTAATTACTTAGAAAACATTATCCAACAGGGAAATTTGGCCATGCTGCTGAGCGCAAGCTGCAGTTAGAATGTTTTTAAATCTGAGTCATTGACTATGATTGAGCCAGTCTCCGTCACGTGATAGCATACACTGCGTTTCTGTGTTCTCCGTAGCTTGTAAATGATAGCAATGATGATGTCCACGAATGTCACGTGTCCGCTCTTAGTCAATGTAGTGGTTGATTGTATGACGATGCAGTCAGACAGTGTTGATGTGTAGCATAGTTTACACACAGTGAAGTCTGTATTCTACACTGCTGTTCATCTCATAGTGAACATTTGGGAAAATCTCAGACAAAACGTCTTTTTCTACAAGTCATGTAAGAAGGAAATGATTTTCTAACGTGATCCGCTGCAAATGTGCTGGCTGTGTCTGTAGCTGGAGTCCCAATGTGTAGCTGGAACTACCAGATATGATACCGCACAGAGCTAGAGATGCACACTCCCATTGTACTGAAATTGGGTATTGGCAAATCAGTGTCCCCGTAACCGACCTGGGGCCATACCACCCTTCAGGAGCCGGCTCTGTATCTCAACACTGTGTATTCTATTGGTAAAAGTTTGCATTCTGAACTCAATGACAGTGGGTCCAATGTTATTAGGCATTTTGCCTGTTTTGATTTCCACTATAAATAAAGTATACAACAACAACAACAACAATGCCACTGGGTTGTTATGTTTAGTGTTATGTGTAATGACGTCACGATGATTGAAGGCAAAACTCTGTAGTAAAAGGTACAGCCTGAAGTCTTAAGTACAACGGTTTTGTAGTGTATTTGTTTACTAGGACAGCCCTTTTCATTGGCACAAAAACACAATACAGGTTGATTTTCAACACAATGGCACATTGTACATATGATATACATGTAGCAATTAATTAATCAAAGGAAGAAGAGAAGAAAACTGAGCCGGAAAGTACTACACTGTTAAACATACACAGGAGCAGATAAGTTTGATAGCAAAAAGCTATAGTACATGAAGTGAGATACGCATGGAATTAACACCGTTAGTTAGCGGCCACTGCAATCTGATGGTGGATCAGCAGCCAGGACATGACGTCACTGCACCATGTGTAGGACTGGACTTATCCGTTCTACATACAATGTTTGTTTATTCATTTGTTAAATTTGTTTGCTCGTTATGTTTATTTAACTTGGCACGTAAAAGGGTAACTGGGTCCAATGGTACAAAGACGAATACGGAAGGAAAGAAGCAACGGGGGAAAGGAAACACAATGACAGCAACGGACAGAAGAATATCACAAAGCGAAATAGCCAAGGCTATAGAAGTGCTCAGGAAATGACTGTTATGAAACCACAAGTCCTCAAATGTGAAAGGCCTTCTCGCTTGTGACATTGTGCTCGTTTCAATGCAGTTGTATCTCGACTCCGCCGTACCACTGATGATTACGACGTGGTATACGCTACATGCGCTATGTGCGGTTTGCTGTGTGCGCTGTAGTTGTATGTTGTACATGTACATGTATGCTTTTCTCATAATTATACGCTGTCATTTTCACACTATAACTACCTGCTGGTTTTAGTGTTAGTTGGTATTAGTCGATCGAAGTGAAATATACTGTTGAAGAGTAAAATAGTTGTCCTCGTGCCGTGTGTTCGTTCGTTCCTGACTTTTAGAGAACCAGAAGAGTTCACAACAATGACATCAATTGGTCACACCTGCACGCTGCACGCACATTCACAATATCACGTGATAATAATCTTTATTTCAGGATTACCCAAAGGCTAACGCCTATCTGGGGGATCACAGCAAGAGGAAAAGACAGCAACAACAGTAGCAACAACAACAACAACAACAACAACAACAACAACAACAACAACAACAACAACAACAACAACAACAACAACAACAACAACAACAACAACAACAACAACAACAACCACGGCGACGACGACGACGGCGACGACGACAACCACAACAACAACAGCAACAACAACAGCAACAACAACAGCACTCCAACACACCATTTCATGTCAACACATAGTAGAGTACATAGTATTAGACCTGCCCTGTTCATCCACGATCAGCCAAATGTACAGTCTGTTGCTGAGTTGTACACCAGACCACACACAAGCAGCTACTACAGTGTCTACATTGTCAAGTTGCTCAGTGACGTCATGTCATTATGGTGACATGTGTTTGGCAACAACCAGTTATAAAATAGAATTTTACGACAATCAGATTGACAACACCAACACCACCCTGGTCTGTATGGGACTGTACCCTAAGACATGATGTCATCAGCTCTTTGTCCGTGTTTGATGAGAAGAGCGTAGCATTCTGACGGGTAGGTTGTGGTGTACTTAGTAAAAAAATTAAAAAAAAAGTGTGTCGGAATCGTGATTGGTTACAGGTAGTGTTGTTACGTGGTAATGGGGTAGGTCCACCATTATGACATAATCACATTCACACATGTAGACTACACACATTGTGTGTAGTCTACATGTGTGAATGTGATTCTTGTCACCAATGTAAACAACACCTGTTATGGTCTCGGTCTCTGCAGAGCGCGACGACATCGTGCAGACGTTAGGCCCAGACAGATCCTGCCGGCAATTCTTTCAGCAAAATATCGAAGAATTTAAAGAGCGGAAAATGCCGGTAAAATCAGAGCAAAATATCGAGATGTTGGGTGCCTGATACTTGGATTTCCTTGGTTCAGCAGGTAGTTAATTTTATTTTCATTATTTTATTGGTTTGGTGAGACTACCATGATAGGTATCCATTTACCTCTGGAGAATCCGTAAATAAACAAACAAACAAACACTGCCCAGGACGAGATCATGTGACCGAAATATCACTGGGATTCACTGTGGATCCACATGATTTTGGAAGAACTAAGGGACACGTGCGTGGAAATCCGTGTTGAGAAACCGACCCTGCGATTTTATGAAAAGTTGTACGGGATTGTACGGGAATTGGATAAAATACACGTTTTTCCGGAGCAAAATGGAGCAAAATACCGAGATTCTTGTGACAGGCTCGGCAAAATATCGAAGATTTCGCAGCAACTTTTTGCGGCAAAATATCGAGGCGAGCGGAGCAGAATCTGTCTGTGCAGCATATCACGTGACAAACCACGACACACGCGCACACGCAGTGCTGCGGACACGAGATGCCTGAGTTCTCGCTAAGGCACACAGCTATACAGCCACAAAGCTAAACCAGTATGAGTAATGTATGAGTAGATAGCCGTCCGTGGTCAGCCAGACGGTGAGCATCTCTTGCCATTCACCACATGCATGTAA